ATGCAATTAAGTTGATTAATAAATTATATTCTACGCCACATACAAACATGTTTACATGCATTTAATCGAGAAAGAAAAGAAATTAATCTATATTAAAATCAAATATTCTGTAATCTCATTAGTTATGAATAATATTTGATTATGCTCTAACGTTTCAATTATTTGCATATGCTTTGTTTGATAAAAAGTGTTCCCAATTAAAGTTCTGTAGTTTAGCAAAAGTTTTATAAGTATACTTAATAAAATAATTTAGAGAACAAATAATTCGTATTTCCCAGTTATGCTTATGTGATAATCCCAAGAATAATAATTTAAAATGTTTGGAACTACAAACTGCGGGAGGTTTTCTCAAATCGCTAGCGCAATTTAAAGTTAATCTGTGCGTGTTAAAGCAAAGCCAGAGTTGGTAGCACCGGCGATAACAACAGCAAAAACCTCGGTGAGCGATTTACAAGCAAAGCTGGGCGAATACAATCACACTAAAATCGCGCATACGCCGCGTATTCCCCAAGAAACATCAGAACTTCGCATTTGTTTGCCTTTGAGTGGCACATGCGCCACACTTGGCACTTGCTTTTATTTTACCCTGGGTTACTTTTAATGCCCAGAGCAGCAGGGCTAACACACACACGCTGGCTAACGCAGACAGACACACACATCAATCGGCTTATTCCCAGTACACGTCACGGTCTCAAAGCGTGTGTGTGTGTGTGGGTGTGTGTATGTGCTTATAAGTGATTATCTGCTGTAAAAATGGCGTAGGAAGTGGAAGCTTATTTTCCCGTATACTGATGCGCATTTAACTCCCCAACGGGTTATAAAAATACTACACAACTATTTTTCAAGCGAGCAGTAATTGGCATTGTGTAGGCTTATCCAAGAAATCACCTCAAGAAACGCAAAAAGAAAAACTTAAGTAATTGATGATGATTTGTATGAAAATGGATTTTAATTTATTTTGAAAACTGCAAAAGTGGAAAACGAAAACGCTATATAGAACATGTTTAGGATTAATGTTTTGGTTTCTAGCCCAATTGCATTCGCTGCAACTGATTCTGCGTAGTAAATGCAATAAAATCCAATGCGACTGCACGCAGTCACTGCAGCAGAAAACAAATCGCATTATTACCGCCGGGCAATGGCCAAGAGGAAAACTCAACGCTCAGAAGGCAGAGACCGCAGGAAAACTCATAAAAGTAGCCAAGGCACAGACAAATAAAAGGATCGCATAAAACTAATGTTAAACAATTCCCCCTTGCCCCCTATACTTGTGCCTTTTGTCTGCGGTCTTGTGTCTGTACTTTGCTGTTTTCTTGCCCTCCATTTGTGTTGCGTGAGTTTCTGTTCTGTTCTGTTCAGTTCGGTTGGGCTCAATTCGGAAGCCCGGGTCTGTCGTCGCCCATCGTCATCGCCGGACCCTTAAGACGATGATGGCCTGCCCAAAGCTCCCGAGGATATGCAATAAAATTGCGTTTTAATGCTGCTCTAACGGACGAGCAACGACCCATTTACCAAGAGCTTGTCCTCGTACGAGTGCAAACATACCCATCCATCGCGAATGCGTTGTACAGGATATGGGCAGTTCTGAGATACCCGGGCAGGTAGATTATACTCTTGGACCTGGTAATATGATTTCTTTAACACCACCTAAATCTAAAGACAATTTTTGTCAATGCATACATACATTATAGGATGGTAATGCTTAAGAATACTGTATTGAACCATCTTTAAATGATAAATCAATATTATTATACTATAATATTGCGATATTGTGAATGAAAAAATACTAACAGAATTATGCAGAATTTGTAAAGTTTTTAACTTAATGGGACTTTCCTGAGATTAAGAAACTTCGGATGATAAAACCATTGTTTTCTGGCCTTCCCTTAGCTTGTCATTCAATATTCATATAGCCGAGGGTATAAAACTGTCCCCTTTGTTTCAATTTTATGGCTGCCTTTTTATGCTCGTTTGCTTGTCCTTCGCATTGTTTTATTGAATTTTATTTGCATATTTTCGCGTGTTGCCCGCTCGGAACACGAATCCAAGACTTTTATGAGTTTGTCGATTCCCCGTGAAATGGGAATGCAAAAGGGGCAAAGCGGAAAAGCGTTGCACTCCCCACGGACTGCAGGGAAACTTAAAACACGAATCCCTTGGTCGCCGACAAAAAGAAAATCTTGCCTGCCATTTCGCATTTCACATTCTGCTTTCAGCGCTCGGCGGATTATTTGACGGGGCGCCAAATATATACGAGTATGTGTTTAAAAGTACACAAAACATAAATTGCAGGGGTGCGGAAAATCCAAGCCATTCGGAAAAGTGTAAAACAATTCTCAAGTGTTTTACGCTTTAAGCATTGCGCCTTCGTTTTTTGTTTGTTTGCCTTCTGTGTGTTTGGTGTTTTGAGCTTTTTGGCCTTTATGTTTGCCAAAGCCCCTCTGAACGCGCATTCGACACAAAGAACCGTGTCGGAGTTCCCACGCCCGGCGGTTTCCTTTGTGATTCAATCATTTTTTTGCAACTGATTCAATTAACTTAACATCTCATACCAGATTTTCAGTACGAGGCACTGGGAAATTGCACTTTCGCCGCCGCCAAAGCGATGGGGCAATGCATGCCGGCTTAATGGAGTGCATTGTGCGTCGAATTGATGGATTCGGTTGGATAATGGGTAAACCAGTGATAAACGGAAGTCCGCAGCAGCGGACTATATTATATTTAATTTCTGGAGGCAAACAAATACAAATTGAGTTTATGGTCATTAAATGCGCTTTTGAATTGTTAAACAATGGCTGATTGCGAATTGGAAAGTGCAACGTTTGCCCGGAATTAATTACGAGTATATCAAGGAACAAATTTATTTACCAGCGTCCATTATAATTCTCGTTATTATAAATAAAATCACACATTTTTATTATTGAATAATTTTTTAGGTGTGTGGCAGCCATTTGATAAAATAAGATAGCCTCAAGGAATTAAAAATGTTTTTTGTTATCATGTCAATATTTAATATATATACACATTTTCCAGCTTTTGTCTATTTCCGTGTTAAGAGCTTATACAGTAAAAATCGCACAACATGTAAGCTAGGAAGAACATTTTGCATTCCCAGTAAAAAAATGTAAAGCCACATAGTCAAATTGAAAATACACGTTATTTCGATAAACCTGTGTATAAAGAATGAATTGAGCTAACGAAAATAGTGATTTGCAAAAACAGGCAAACCAACTATTTATAATTCGAGCAACACAAATAAATTAAAAACCAAGAATAAAACTGTCCGTTGGGCACGAATATACGGAATGAAAAATTGTTTTTATTTAATTTACAATCAAAGCGAACTAACATTCGGGTAGATGGTGAACAAAAACGTGTAACAAAATATACAACAATTGTGTAATAAAAGCGCATATATGCAACATAAATCTCAATCAAGAATGCAGTTCACAGACCCATAAAAAAGAAACCATAACCATATCAGACACCCAAAGCCCAGCAAACTAGTTGGTCGCACTTGTATGCTCCCATGGATACATAGATACAGATGTATCTTTGGCGGTGGTACGTAAACTGTCCCCCATCCTGAAAAAAATGTATATAAAATAATAAACAAAAACAAAATACGGAATAGGACCGAATCTGAGCCCAGCACGCAATCGCACGAAACTGAACAACTAATCAGCGTTTGTACCTAATAAGCCGCCGGTTGATGATGACGCGATGATCATGGGATGATGATGATGATGCTGCATGAAATGTGCGGATTATGGTGGATAGTATATATAGTATACCATACTATCTGTATAGTGTGTGTTCGGGTTAAGTGTGATAAATCGACAGTTGAATTACGCGATATGTGGGCGACTGGGAGGACAGACGAGGGTGTGTGTGCGTCGTCGAGCGTTTATCAAGCAAAATATTTACACACACACGAGAATTAAGCGCACTCACGCACTCGAGCACACAATACTCGAAAGAAGTGAAAAATGCGATGCCCAATGCACTGAAAAAAGTGGCAGGCTAAATTCTGCCTAGCATTCAGAATTTGTAATGCTTTTGTTTATGGTTGTGTAGATTTTGTATACTTAATGGTGAATGAACGCATGCTTTTTCAAGTACAATGTACCCTTTTACTTTATAAGAGGAGCTCGTAAATGTGACATGGACCACTTTTGAAGACAGCAAGGAAATGACACTCACATGCTTTTTTCCTGTGTGGCGGCGAGTGAAAGAATAAAGTAAAAGTGTCTTTTCATCAGAATTTTAAATGTGCTCGCCCCCGATGTGAGTTGCCAAAAAGTGTGTATAAGTTTTTGTATGAGAGTGGGTACAGGTGTGCGCGTGAGCCGACCGAGCGGAAGTTATGGAGCCTACATGCCCCACAAATAAAAAAATAATTTCGCTTTCGTTCAGCGAAATTAAGGGCGGAGGGGACTGGGGGGAGGTGGGTAGGTGGGGCAAGCGGGTGGACATTGAGGCACCGCCACTCGATAAACCACCAATACAGTGACCAGATCCTTGTATGTAAACAGACAAATTATGAATTTGTAAGACTCTCTCGTATTTCCCGGGGTATCCTGTCGTTCTCCCTTTATCTCTCTCCCTTTCTGCGTGTATGTGTGTGTGCTGAAGACCTCACGGATCACTGAGCTCATCAAAAATCGTTAAATGCTAAAATCGAAGAAGAAATTCCACAACCAAAACAATGCCCCTGAGGGGAGGTTCCACTTTGTTTTGTTTTCTCCATCATTATTGTAATGACATGAGTTTTATTGTTAATAAAGCCACTTGTTAAGATGGACACAATAGCAAAACATCATTTTAAATAGGAAATAAAAATTCTCCAGGGATGATTTATTGATCTCTTAATAGAAAAATATTAATTTTAATAGTAAAATGAAAAAATCATAAACTTAAGATTTAAATATTTAAAACTAATCTTCTGCAATGCAATTATCACCTAAAAATATTTATTTTTCTAAAGATAACTCACTCACCTTTTTGTGCGCTTAAAATGCTGCCCTCGGTCGCTCACTACATGACTCTGTTTATGTTTAATGTTTAAAACTTCTCCAACTCTCCGATTTTCCAATTTTCCAAGCTGTAAATAAATTGCAGGCTGCTTGCATTGAATACTTGATTTTTGCACCAAAACTGCACTTTATCACACACAGAATCTGACTAATGAATATCCTTTATTGGCCATGTTATGCCATATGCATGCCAGGGTATGTGTATGTGTGTTTTTGTTTGAAAGAACTGGCTTAAAGACAGAAAGGGTATGGGGTTTCCCTTTAAAGATGTATGGTCTGCCTCCTTTAATCTTGCCTATTTTAAAAGTCGTTCTGGTTTCCTTTTTGGCTTTTTTTGCGCACTGAATTGAATACTAGTGTGGCGTAGTCCGCTCGATCCGCTGAACTCCGAAACTGTGTCAGCCGTTCAAAACACGACGATGTCTCTAGCTAAACTGAAGCCAAAAGGCATCGCAATGCGTACTTTAAACTGTTCGAAAGCACACACACACAGAGGCTCACACATGCTATAAGCGCGGAAAAACGGACACTGCTTTTCCGCTCTTTATCTCTCGCCAAAACAGCGGGACTACGCTTTCACTCTCTCACTTTCTCTCCTGTAGCTTTTGAGCGACTGTTATACCATCACTCTCTCTCTCTCTCTCTCTTTATTTTTGGCCTGAAGCTTTAGCTTGTTTTTGTTCGCAATCAAAATCGGAAACTTTTTCTGCGACATTTTGCCGCATTTGTTGTTGCTCTAGCGAGCCATACCAAATTTCATTATCTCAAGTGGCCGCTTCGTTTGTTTATTTGAAAGACTCTCCAGCTAAGCAAATATTGTTGTTTAATTGTTGATAGTTCTTAATGAGTTTTAAATATTTTTTATTTTTTTTTTTTTATATTTTTGTTTCTGTTTGTTTTTGTGGGACAACCGAAAATCGATCGCACACTTTTAACACACACACATTCAGCTCTCGCTCTTTTGCTCTCTCAAACACACACACACACACACACGTCAAAAGGCAGCTGATTTGAGCCGAAAAGTATGCTTCAGATTTGGACAATGATTTAAAACTCCTTTTAAGTCGATAAGAGTCTGGAATATTTTCGATTAGTACACGTATTTGAATTATTATTATTTTTTTGTATATATACACTTTTTACATTTTATTGTTGAGCTCAACCGAACGAAAATCGGAACCAGCGTGACCTACGACTCGCAGCAGAATGCGGAGAAACGAAGAAAACAGCAGCCGACCACAACAACAGCTGCAAAATGCGGCGTCGGCGTCCGGGATGAACAACTTTTTGCCCACACACACACCATCATATAAAAGGGGAAAGGGGGGGTGGTCATATTATAGGAAATTTGATATGAAAACATTGACAAGCAGCCGCATAAAGCTTTTAGCCTTCAGCTGTGCGCACACACAGCCGCTGCGAGAAACGAGGAGGTATAACAGTTTAGCATTTTCGGCTGGTCCGATGGAAATTCTTCCTGCGGCACGAAGAGCTTTTCCAAAACGAAGCTGAGGCTGGCCAAGTTTTTATTCTTAGCTTCGATTGATTGCTGGCCGGGAAACCGAATGCGGCAGTGGCTAAGATAAGCGCTAAAAGGCATAAACGGAATGGCCAAACATTCGACTGATAAGTTTCGCTGATAAGGGTATTCACAATGTGTGCGAACTTTAACGGTTTTTGCTTGCTTTCTTGCTAGTATTGCTACTGTAGGAATTGGGAACGAAAATGAAATTTAATAATTGTATTGATTGAATCAAAACATAAGCATATGATATTGGCAGATGTACTAAAATTAGTACTTTTGTATAACAGGTGTATTAATGAAGTCTAAGCCCTTACAAATTTATATTAATATTTGCCTTACGCTGCTTGTTTAGTTATATTAACTATTGGAATGTTTTTTTTTTTAACTGATTTAATTTCAAAGGAGCAATTGCCTTTTAAGTTTCGACAACTTTTCGAATAAATTAGTTATAAAAATTCTCTCTTATTATATTACTTTGCTGCACTTTTAAATCGGACCTCGCTGCCAAAAGCTATTTCGCGAAGCTTTCCTTTGAAACTGAGCATCGCAGTGCGACAGGTGACAACCCTGCCTGCAGTGGGCATGCAACTTGTTGCGCCGGTTTGCGCTTCTCAGTCTTCATTCCATTCTCGAATCCGCCGGACGTCGACCTCCGATCCGATCTACTACTTGGTTTGTTATTGTTTGCTTTGGCTCTCTTGCATTCGGCTGTTGGGTTGTTTTCGATCTTAAATACGCACCCACGTATTTGGGTTTTTGGTAAAAAGTATTTATAAAGTACTTACGCATGGTTGGCGTACGCCTATTAATTGTCACATACTTCAGATGCGGCTGGTCTAATTAATCCGAATTTCTCCGTGTGCAAATTTTGCCAACCGGTTTGTCGGCGATCTGCAATTGTTTTTATGATGACTTAAGGTGGGCGATGACTTAAGACGACACACCCCGCCAAGTGCAGTGCTTACTAGCGGTGTGATTTGCATAATGACGACATTTGTTTTGAGAGTACTATAATCACCACTTGATCGAGGAATTCGGCACGAAATCGGCGGTCGAGGTCTTGACCTTATACTTTGCCAGGTGCCTTAGTTTGGTCACAATTAGTTTTGACGTCAGTGTTTCTAAATTCAGTCCCAAAACCGAGCCAAATCGGTCGTTAGTATGTTTGTCACGACTCAAAAGTGAAATCTAAATGCAGAAGAAAGCCATTGAAATGCATTTTTGTGGATAAAACCTGAGTGAATGCATATTTTAACAATATTCTCTGAATGTTAAAAAGTATTGTTAGGTGAAAGCCTAATATTTCATAATTTTCTTATAAAGGAAGATATTAACTGAAACGCAAACTTTAGTTTTTGTGCTTATCAAGGTATAATTATATAATATAAAATTTTAAATTGCAAATGACTTAAAACTATTTATAAATGAGCGTGGTATTCAAACACAAATGGGGTTTACTGAAGGATTTACTTGCCCGAATAACTTGACGTTCACTATCTCAAATTGGAACGTTGATACAGCGATAGAAACTAAGATTTAGAAATAGAAGTGACGTTTTAGAAGCTCTTTTAATCACGTTAGGCTTATCGGAAACGTGTCTTTCCAAAATGTAAGGTTTAATTTGTTAGATTATTAAAATTTTTATGAAGTCACACTTTAGAGCACGTATCAAGTAAATGACAAGTGTTTTGGTTAATAAAATGAAGCGAAGATCAAAAGTTAGTTTTATGATCGACCGAGTTCCAAGACTTGAGATCTGCTCTATTTAGCAGGCAACTGATAAGCTTAATTTTTTTTCTGAACACCCACTAAATAAGATCCCTTGTGTTTATCTTATCGCACAGCTGAAATCGCTCTACACAAACAACACCACTCATCACGATGCCCAATCCACTGTGGTTCATCTTCTGGCTGTTGGTCTTCTGGTTCGTCTCCTTCTTTGTGGCATTCTTCTGCGCCTTTTTCTACATCTGGGTTTACGCATTCGCCTCCTGCATTCCCGCCTTGACGGTAAGTGGGCTTATAAACCATATATGTAGGCTTTTTTGGTTTTTTTGGGGAGCAGATGAATTTATATGAGGAGTGAGTCAATTACTTTACCTGCTAGTGGCATGAGGCACTTTCCTTATCGGGCCGTTAAGATGTTTAACCCATTACTCATTTCGGGAACTTATCAGACCCGCAACCGGAGCTTATGGGCAGCGCCGATGACTGGCCCCGATATGTTCAGTCACCTACACCTATTGCCTTCAATAACATTGCTAACCGACTTGTTTCGTTACTTTCGCAGGGCATATCGGACATTCTGCTCCAGGGAGTCCAGTTTCCGTTCTATTGCGGGAAAGCCATGTTGGAGGGCAAACAAGCATTCTAAGGGGGAGCCTTCTCCAATATCAATAAACTAAGTGCCTTACTGATAACTCTTGTTTTCAATCATTTTTTACAATTTTACAAATAAAGATTTATTAACTTATACTAATAATTACCGATTTTTTTGATTGATTGAATCTGATATTACATTGCGTTTATTTGTTACACTTTATTACACTTGAGAAATTAACCTGATGGAGTGATTTTTACTATCTTTACGTACAGAACATACATTCAAGTATCACGCGATAAGCAATTTATCATACCTTTTTTATACTTGGTATACATGCGTAATATTTACCCTTTATCAGAGCCAGTGATTCCGCTTTTGCATCATTCATAATAAGTAAATCACTATAGTTACCCCCACTCAAGAAGTGTTTTCCATTGATTAAGCTCTTTAGCTATTTATATAGTCAGAAAGGAAAACACTTTTCGAAAAGATTCAATCAGTTAAATATTAAAGCAAAGCAAATAATTTGTATATAGCTGTTTTTAAATACATTTGTTAGGCCATTCCATTTCTAAAACGAAGAAATGTAATGAAACAATTTCATAGAATAAAAACATGTAAATTTAAAGAATTAATCCGTTTTCAAGCACTACAACAACTAATAAATAGCTTTATTAATGAAAATCAGTTAACAAAATTTAAAAATGAAAACACTAGATATTCTAATTGCCATATTGAGCACGGTTTGGAACCGATTCCAAAGTCCGGGTTAATTTATTTGGTGGTGGAGGCCACTGTGGCATTCTGCTGACCACTGCCCGGGGCTTCAGCTGCTCCGGATACTGAGTTTCCCGCGAGATCCGGAAGTACGGCGGCCTGAGAAAACCCGTCCTGTTCGCAAAGAGCACGCAACTCGAGCTCACCAATGAGCTGCATCACCCGGATCTTGCCCTCGGTGGCCAGTTTGGGCGGCAAGTTTTTGACGGTGGCGCATATGCTGTCGAAGAACAGCTCAAAGGAGTCACGCGGTGGCGTTACAGGGGACACTGGTTGCAGTTGATAGGATTGCAGCTGGCGGGCTGCGTAGGAGGGCGTGGTGTGTATAGGCGTTATGGTGGCCTTGGAATTGATCTCCTGGGCTTGGCACATCCCACTGGGTGGAGTACTGGGCGCTGGAATTTTCTTAATGGTGATTCTGCATGGCGGAGCTACTGCTGCTGTTGTGGAGGAAATGGGATAGGAGGAGCCAGTGGACGGAAGACTTTGAGGCAACTCGTTAATGGTCACATGTAGTGGCAAATAATCCAGCATGCCGGAATTCTGTGAGTCAGTCTCCGAGCTACGGCGCTGCTGCTTAATGGCGGGCTCCGTTTCGAGATCATTCTGTGCATCCAGTTCTTGAGCCTGCTCCTCATCGTCCTCGCAGTCCCCATCGGTTTCGTCCAGTTCTCCCTCATCCTCCTCTGTCTCGTCGTCTTGAGGATCAGTTGCGTATTGTAGCAGACCCTCTTCGTCCTCGGTGTCCTCCCACTTCATCGCACAGGAACTGGAGCCATCTAAGTCCGTATTGTTTGCCTTGGCGGGCAATGCTTTTCTCTGTGCATTTTCCGAGTGCTTGATGCTGCCCTCGTGCTTTCCTAGGTCAGATCTCTTGCAGCTGAGCCTGCACTCGCACACCGCGCAGAACACAAAGTGCGGATCTGTCTCATCCGGGAGCAACCAGGGATATATCGCCTGGTACTCTGGCTTCGTCTTAGGTCGAGGATATTTCAGTAGGGCGCAGGGCCGGCGTGGCCTGTATTCGGAGCGTAGGGCATCTCTGGTGGAATATATAGTCAGAAAGCTATAGTTGTTGGTTTCTTACTTTGCTATACTCACAGTTTTTCTTGAGTTAACTGAAGGTTTGACATTTGGACAGTTCTTTTCCAAAATATAAACAAAATCTAGTGCGGTATGACCGTAGCGCACTAGCACAGCAATACCACATAGCCAGTTTCACTCTTGCTGTAAGAGTTGTCACCCATTCTGGTTGTTTGTTTATACTTGGTTTTTCTAAATAACCAACTTCATATGTATCCAAAGATAATTCATATCATTTTTCATATGCTTTATCAACAAAACAAATTATTATATATAATGTTCGGAGCATCAGTTATATGAATTCGCTTATAGTAGACGGAAGACTACGTTTTATGACCTTTCAAAATAAGTGTGCCTATTTCAAGTTACTCTAAGTATTTATCTAAGTATTTAGTACTTTCTTAGTATATTGTCCTTACCCGACGGTTTAATGCAGAGGGACGGTCACATTGGCCAGCGCCTTGACTGCGAATCCGGGTTTTTGCTTGCACTTATCTTTATTTGTTTTGGTTTATAACGCATGCTGTGATCGCCCGACAGCTGACAAAGATTTGAGCAAAGTGCCTGGATAACCAGCGGTCTGGAGCATCTGGCGATGGAGCAGGATACGAGCGCACAGGCGAAAAACTTCGATGTTCCCACCGACGCCGGGCTCAAAATGGCGTCTGCGAATTCCGAACCTTTGGCGTCGGCGACGCACGAGCTAAAAATTATGGACGTGGAGGGAGGTGCTGTGGTGGCTCCGGATCCCGCCGAGGAAGTGGAGACCCCCATGGTCATCCTGGTGGATGATGACGAGGGGGACGCGGCCATTGTGGTGGAGGAGGACGTGCACTCGATGCCCGATGACGCGGATATCGAGGACATCATGGACGACGAAAATGCTCCATTAGTGGCCGAGCTACAGTCCGCTCTAAATAACCCAGACGACAAACAGGCTAGCGAGGATCCCCTCCTGGAAGACCAGGAACGGGACCCCGATACCATGTCAACCAAAACTGAACCCTCTAGCGATGCGGAAAGCAACCACTCGTACCACGATCCTATGGGCCTACTAGAGAGGATTGACAACCATGATCCGGGAGACAGCCAGGATGACGACGACGATGACGAAAGTAGCAATGGCGGTGGCGTTAACGGATCAATGCGCCGCAAGATGCCCCGCGCACAGCGCTGGCTCCTCTGGATGAAGCGTTGGCCCTGGATCCTACACGAGCCCACCGATGGCACCATGGCCTTCTGCCTTTACTGCAACATGAGCATCAACGTTAACAACCGCTCCAGACACATCCAGCAGCACAACATGTCGCTCTATCACCAGGAACGCGAGTGCAACTACCTGGCATTCAAGAAAAGCGAAGAGCAAACTCGAGGAGCGTGAGTATCAGTTATGAAGATTACAGAAATATGCTGGCTCAATTATAACAATCGTATTACCGTCGTATTAATCGTATTAAAAGTATATGAAAAATCAAGGGCACAACCTGTTGAGTTTATTAACCTGCGAGTTGAAGTAAAAGCTCAACTCTGTGAAATGCCTTTCACTTTGGAAAGGGTTGTTTGAAATCCCACTGTATTGTGATAAAAAAAACGGGTCCAAGTACAACCAAATCTGCATTAATTAACCAATGTGTCCCAATTGCTTGACACAAAGAACATGGTGCACGATAAGCTCGATAACTCGCGTTTCAGAATATATTTTACATGCATTACACTTCCTACTTGCAATGAAAGTAGTTCGACTCACATTGTAAGGAAAATTGTACCTTTAAAAACACTTCTTTATTTTATTTTTTTTCAAAAATAATAGTGGTCAGGAAATTTCAACATCTTATTAAGACCATCGCGATTTTAAGAACATTTACTAACTCCCAATTTTCCTTAGAACCAGTGACAACGAGGTCAAACACGAATTTGGCACCAAGAGCTATGTGGCTGCCATGAAGCAGAAGCGAGTGTCCGAGACCGAGGCCTTTAACAACTTCAACTGGCTACGCTGGCTCCGTTGGCATCCTTGGCTAGAACGTTCCCACCCTACAGGGACCATCGGCACATGTCGCATCTGCAGCGTGCGAATGAACGTGGAGTTTGTCTATTTGCGAAAGCGCCACGAGACTACCAAAGGTCACATGGAAGCCCTCCGCAACCTGGATTCCGATAAGCGGAGCCGGAAGCGAAAAAGAAGCAAAAGCAACAGCGAGACCGCTGGCTGCGACGATGAAGACCAGCAAGCGAAGGAGAAGGAATCTGAACCAGAAGCTGATGCGGAGGATGCTCAGGACACCACTGTGGTTATGATGAACGGCGAGGTAGGCTCGGGCGACGACCCTAGCAAGTGGTGCGAGCTGATTTCGGACACCAATCCACAGCAATGTCGATGTACGCTCTGCGACTGCACAATGGCGATTACCAGCTTCCTGCGGCATTGTAAAACCAGAGTTCATTGCCATAATCTATTGGCACCCGCTGAGAAGGCGTGAGTATTGTCCTACAAAAAACGTATTCCTTTTCTTGAACTTCTTCCACTTTATGGGCTTTAGCTCTTCTGATATTCGTGGCATTTGGGCCATGTTCGCCGACTTGCATCCTTGGTTGATTGCCGATCCCGAAGACCCCAGTATTGCGTACTGCAGCGTCTGTCGCAAGCGATTCATGTATGGAAACTCGGAGATCAAGCGCAAGAACCACGAGAACTCCGAGAAGCATACCTTGGCTGTAGCCACCGCCAAGGCAGCCATCGAAGTTGGGTTGGCTGTTGGCAAAGACGGCGAAAAAGACGAGTGCGATGACAAGGAGGAAGAGGATGTGGCCGTAAGTGATCCAGGTCGATCGGAGAGCGAGGGCATCGAAGATAACGACGATGACAATTGGTCCGAGACCCTAAAATCCGGAAAAGGGTATGTGGTTTATAATATATTATTTGCAATGTTTATCTTTATTAACAATAGTTTTATAATTTCTTATAGTTTTGCTATCGAGCCAAGAAAGGCCAAAGTTCGCGCTGGTTTACGTTTTTACCCGTGGCTGTGCTATTCCAAGGACCGAAAGACTCAGATTTGCAAATTCTGCCGCGTGCGTTTCCACAACGAATCGGCAAAGGCGCGGCATGAGTTTAGTGCCCGGCATGTAAAGCTGGTGAAGCAGTTTAAGGTGCGGCAAGCCAAACTACCCCAGGGCACAAGCGCGCCAACTAGAAATAAACGGGACGATGATGAAGAATCACAGGAACAGGACGAGGAAGATGGGGAAGAAGAAGAAGAAGAGGAGGACGTAGAAGAGGATGCGCAAAGCAACTCCGATTCGGGCACCGTGCAGGCAAGAAAGACTGCTCGAACGGCTAATAAGCTATTCGTCAAGCCCATTCCGGCCACCATGAAGGGCAAGGTAATGGTGTGGAAGGGCCGATTCCCGTGGCTCTCCTACAAAAAGAATGAGCAGCGTGGAAACTATGCCTGGTGCAAGCTCTGCGAAGTGTCCCTCTACCTACCAACATCCAAGTGGGCATCCAAGCACCAGAGGACTTCCCGGCACATACGCCTTCGCATTGATCGAAAGCGCAATGGTGGCAATACTTTGAAAACATCGAACAAAAACTCAGGTGAAATTTCCACTGTTGTGGCCACAGCTTCGGCTTTGGCCAGCGGCGAGGCTAGACAGAAAGCGGCTATGGCAGAGCTGCAAGCCAAGTACAATTGGTTGGATCCCGATGCCACTGACGAGAACCACTGCCACTGCCGTGTTTGTGATACCCGACTGCCGATCAAGGTATTTTACCTGCGCCAGCACGATGCTTCGCGCAAGCACGCCGAAAATCTGGAGCGGCACAGAGACAATGCCGCCGCTGCCGCCAATGCACCATCAGTTAGTACCACTTCCACTGTTGATGCGGAGAGGCAGGAGTTTGGATTGGACAAGGAGAGCGAAAACGATATGAGCGTTCGGTGAGTTTAAGATTTCAAATCTCTCCATTGAGCATTACTAATAACCACTCTCATTATGACTACTTAGATCCGATGGCAGCACCGCGGAACCGCTGGCGAAGCGATCCCGACGCTCAATGGAGGTTCGTCGCATAATACGCGCCCTTCGCGACTCAATGGGTAAACGCCAGGAGGAACGCTCCCATATGGACATGGCCAGAGACATGATATGCTCGTCGTTTGATATTGTTTCGCGCTTGCGGACTTTGGAGCGGGAGGCAACCGCACACAACGAGTCCACGGCGCAGGCGACGTCATCGGTAACAGTGACACCGGGTAAGCCACCGGAACCTCGACATGTACTGGATCTATTTTTTGATAGCATTGCGCCGACCATGAAATCCCTGCCGCCGGATTTAGCCGCAGAGGGAAAGTCCAAAATCATGCAGCTCGTTTGTGGCTTGGAGCTTCGCGCCATGCAGAGAAATGCGACAGCGCCCATGCATGCAGTGTCGGCATCCTCGACATTGTCTTCTCCAGCTTCGGTTACCCCAGTTACAACATCTCCGGCTCCTATTTCAACTCTCCATGCTAATGCTGATGTAGATATGCATTACACGTGTATTACCATCCCGGATGATGACAACACTGTGCAGAACAATAATAACGAGGTTGAAACCATACAGATTAAGCCAGCTAGCGGCACATCCTCTACCCAAGTGACCATCAACGGCAGCCACAAAGACCTGCCAGAGAATATACGCCGTATCTTAAGTTCCAACCAAATGCAAGTGACCAACCGCTACGAAACGGACTCCGTCCGTTGTGTCCCGCTGGACAAACTAACAACACAAAGTCTGGTCAATGGAAACGGACGACTAAGCCAAGGTGGCTCTTCAGATTCACCATCCACCCCACAGGTGGACCTAAGCAATGGTAACACGTTGGCCATGCTCCGGCAGATACGGGTAAACAATAACAACAGCTCCAAGATGATCACCATTACCAAGACGCCGCCAATGCAACAGCAGAATCAGGCACAGGGAAGCGTGACATCGACCCCAATAATGCGGGGTGGTCCCAACAGCAACGGGAGTCAAATGACAACGTTTCGGTCAATGGTGAACCAGAACCGCAGGCCATAGAGCTTCTAGGAAATACAAATCATACGTAAATTTAGTATTTGTCATTGTCATTATTTAAATTCACCTCAATCAGATATATTTAACGTTAAAGATGAATATTTGCAAGCAATTATTCGAAATTAAGATTGTCCACTCCTTTGAGGTACACAAGCATTGGAGTTCCTTCCAAGATAGCGCATAGAATACTGACCTCTTCAAAACGAATCTATTGCTTCCGAAACTTGCATGTTTTGAAGACTTTATTTCGGAACCATTCCAGTACCAGTAAAATTATATATATTTTTTTTTTCATTAAGCACATTACAAATTGGATTTATTCGTTAGGTTTATGGACTTATTCAAGTCCGAAATATAGTAAACTGTATGTCTTTTAATTATAATCTTTACTAATTCCGGTTCATCCACTTTGTGGCGGCTCTGTATAAATCTAAATTCATTTTCAGTCGTTAGGAGTGAATCTTAAGATCAACTCAATTCGTTTTGGTGCCGCTGCTGTGGTTCTGCAGCTGGCAATCCGTTTTGGAGCATCGCGTTTCCAGGCTTCTCATCGCTCGTTATCGTGGATAGCTCGATTTCACGCAGTTCCCCGAGGAGCCGTCGCATCGAGCTGTGCATGAATGCGTTCTCGGGCATCTGATAGCCGCCAGTTGCAGAGAGAGCAGCAGGTTCGTCAGTGGGAGTGAAGGAGGTTGATGGCTTTGGCGGTATGCTGATAGTGTTCAGCTGTTTCTGCTCATTGGCCTCCAGAGCCTGGTCGATGGGCGCCGATCGCTGGTGCAGCGGGAACATAAATTTAACGTCCAGAAAGCTGCATAGCTCTTCAATCCCGTCCAGGGTCCGACTGAGTTCTTCGCTCCCATTCGCCTGCCTTCCCACATGATGGCGCACAGTGCTTAGGTAACTCTGCAACTTGCTTCGCGCTATCTTGATTACAGTTTGGGCATTCTTCAGCTCCAATCGGAGTAGCTCTGGACTCTGCAAGGGTCAGATACAAATACATATTTCTTAAGGACAAGTCGTGTTAAAAACAAATAAGCCACTCAATGTAATTCTCATAAAAGTAAATGTTAAATTATCACTAACAATGCTTACAAAAAGATTCTATTAATGGGGGTCACCCATATGTACGAAAGATTGGCTTAGGTTAAGTAGTTTTGTTGTTATAACTAAATATACTCTAATAAAATATTAAATATGGTAACAGCGAATTGTTAAACGAATAACGAAGTATTAAAGGACACTCACATTCTCCAAGTATCCATCCATAGCAACTCGATGGGTATCTTTCAGTTTGGCCAGAGCCGAAGAATCCGCCGCATTGCGCTCCTGCATGAAGGTGATCTGTCGATCAACCTGGCTACCACTGTTGGCCATCGAAGAGGTTTCTGAATTGGTGCGCGGGCGTTGTTCCGCAAGAGGAACCACTTCCTTGCCCGCAGAACTATTGGTAAAGGACACGCACGTGAAGGCGTTTGGCGGATACTCAAACTGCTTGGGATTAAGCATGAATAGGGCATGTCTCAGCACCAGATGAACGTCTACATTGTTCGGATAGCGCATTAGATATGTCAACGATGTGGTGTAGTCACTAAGAAGCACTGTAATGAATATTAGTTACGCCATTATTTAGAAACTATGGCTCTAGGAGGGAATACCCACGTTTATCACGGATGTGCACCAACATGGCCACCAAAATGTAGTTGGGCAGGTCGAAGCGGTCGCTATCAGCGAAGATGGCATCCCACAGCAGCAACAGGTCCAGCAGCATAAACTCCCGTCCAAAGAGAAGTCTTAGCCAACGACTATAATAACCAAATAGATAATTTAGTTCATTGGAATATTAATTTTAGTTGTTTAGTATATTTAGCTTCTGTGTGTGATTCCCTTTTCGAAAACAAACAATCCGGATTTAAGATTAAACATTAAGCATTGCTCAGTAACTATATCCAAGGTTCCAACTAAAACCCCCCATTTTTCATTGACAACTCACATGCCGAATATGTGCAGCGGGATTTCCATCTTTTGGAGATAGTGGTGCAAGTGCTGATCCTGCTTGGCAAGTATTTTGTCCCGTATGAAGTTCAACTGGCCGATAACCTCCGCCTCGGTCGGTGTCTCATTGTCTCCGGGGCTCTGAAATAGGAATGGGTAGCGATAAGGGCTGTTTGCTGCACCCGCAAACTGCGACGCACCTCGACTCGCTGTTCGATGTGGCCACCGGGTGTGGAGACCAGATTCGAGACGCGATAGTACGACTCCACGGAGGCCATGAGGCGGGAGAACAAAGAGCTGTGGGAAACGCATTGATTCACGATAGAGAGATTACATGTTAATTGTACTACGTACTAGGTATCAGCTTCCAGATAGGCGGGATCCAGCACGTCCAGCAGCGTGGGATTGATATCCGTCTTGGCCAGTTCGCTGAAGTGAAGTAGGGACTGGTGATCGCTGTAGACCACAAATATGATGGGAGCCAGGATCTCGTGCATGCCCTGCCGGTAGCACATGTACGGATGCTCCCTGGCGTAGTAGAAGAGTATGTTGACCATTGCGTTCTGCACCAGAGGCTTTCGGAAAAAGTCCACGCCCGGAAAAGTGCGCACCACATCCTGCCGGATGACGGCGAAGAGCTCCTGGTCACTGAAGTATTGATTCCATACGCTTTGCGTCGACTGCGACAACGGATCATCGTTACAGTCTACGGCCAGTTGGTGGGGATTGCGGACATAGTCCGCCCGGAACTTGTCGTACCTCACTCGCTGCTGCAGTCGCTGGCTAGCCCAGCTCCGGTGCTCCGAGGTCAGGACGCGCAGTAGGAGAGCCCAGTGAACGCTGCGGAATTTTGACATCTTGAGATCCCCGGCAAATGCCGACTGCCGGAGACTTTCCGGGTCCGCATCGAGGTTTTGCAGCAGCACCTGCCACTCCTGCCGGTAGCGCTCCACAGAGTTCATGGCTCCCGCCTCTGGAATCACCAAAATTGCAGCTTTTCCCGGAAGGTACTCCAAACTTTCCCTTGCCGCCGATCCGTTCAGTGTGATGGCTTCTATTCCCCAAACAGTCATTGCTTGTCGCTGGCTGGGAACTAAATGCAGGCGGTTATCCGACCCGTAGCCATGTCAACATTGGATTTCGGTAGGTGAAGGGGGTGGCGCCAAATTAAACAATACACAATGGGATTTTGCGTAAAAAGTGGATTGAATCCAATCTCAAGATAGTGCACCAGTGTGACCGTTGCTTGCCCGTTAAAATATACTGCACAGTCCCGTGGTAATATACTAGAGCGTATGTTAGCCCTATTAAATACCGTAACTTAACGGATATTTCAATATTTAATTTATTCAAGTTTTGAATTACAAGGTCGTATGTCTTTTCAATAAATCACATTTTTTATTAGCGTTCATTTTTAATGTTACTACATGTATAGGAAAGTAAATATTAAAAATATTGTAAAAATAATACACCATATTAAGAGAACTCAAGGTAGGACCTTTATTTTACTTTAATCGAAAATAAGCTTACATTTAATATAAAATGGAGTAATAAACAATGAAGTAAGTATTATGAATATTAAAAAATGAAATGACAATTCATAAGCTTCTGTTAATAAAGACTTAGTTAGATTAGTGACCAACTTTTTAATCAATATGATAGTTAGTGTATTAAGTTTCAGAAGAGATCGTTAAAAACCAGCTTCAGCTAATCCTTGATATGACTTAATTTCGGGGGAGTACAAAACTTATTTTCATTAGAACTCCACATTTTTATATAAAATGGCTTTATTGCTGTAAACTTATATCAATTGGTTAAGATCTAGCCAGAGCACTAAAGTTTGAAATCAAAGCGAACACATCATTAATAACAATTTGCGCCGAATCATTGAATCAAAAAATGTAGCGCTGAGTATTTCCAGAAGAACAAATAAATGAATGTGCAACCAGGCAACAATAAAATTGCTTATACACTCTAGCCTCATAAGCTCCAGCTTCCAAGTTCTATAACACTCCGCTCTCTGGGCACAAATGATGGTCTGTCTACCTAAGGAAGCTCGAATCTAATCTTGTTTACCGATCCGCTTCTAATGAGCACACATATGAATCCATTAGAGAAAAAATCCAATAAAAGTTATTGGCTTTAAGTTCGCATCTACTTACGCGTTCTGCTTCACGTATGTAGTGTTTATCAAATCTCTCTATTGAGGTCAATGCTTGCCGCTATAATATGCAACAATTAATTCATGATAATGCCAAATAGTCGGCAGCGAAGCAGAGCCAACCAGGAAATAGAAGACAATAACGAAATGCGAAGATCTCCGGTCGGTTCGAATCGGTTCGGATTTTTTCTTTGGACGGGCAGAAGTTTTGCCCCTCTTGACATGCCAAAAATTGCTAATAAACCAATCAAAATCTCTGCTAATGTCCCTAAAGTTTTCTAATATTAATTGTGTGCCGGTGCCATGACATGACGGTCAATGTCGTTTTTTGATCTAGTCTTGAGTCTTCAGTAATTTTCTAATCTCTTTTCGGGGGCTTGAACTTGAACGATCGGTTGGCTTTGACCCAATGACTGAATGTCGAATGTCTACGGTGGGTGGATCGGTTGGTTCGGTGGCTTAGTGGGTGGCTTGGTGGGTCGGTGGTCAAGCGAGTGTGTCCAGGGTGATAATTATGGCTTCAAGTACTCCCTGAGATTTTTGGGCTGCATATTCTTCATGCACGAGACAATACATTTTCGAAATACTATATAAATTCAATGGCCGACTGCATGCTAATCATTGCCACATTGTAGAGGACCGATTAAAGCAATAAAGAACAGTCCTTAAAGTGCATTTGCATTTAAACCAACCGCCGCACGAACGCAACCAAGTAGTCGCACGTATGCGTCACATTGGCTTCGATTTATAATTTCTCGGTCAAAGTCAATGTCAATGCAAATGGCAAAAAACCAGCAAGAGACCACCGCATTCGCATTAATAGCAATAATCAGTCAATGGGGCTATCTGGCTTCAACCCCCACCACTGCCCGCCACCAACGAAAAGCTCACGAAAACGGTCGAAATGCGAACGAGTTTTGGCCGCTTATCAATAGCTTTTGACTTTGGCCTGAGAACTCGTTTGCTTTGCGCCTGACTTTGGGCCCTGTTACAATTTGCCTTTGCCTGCTTAGCATTTTGTATTTCCTGATGTTTAATCAGCCAGCCGAAGACGCTGAAGTCGA